AAGTATAATATCAGGTACTTGAACTAGTCCAGATATTATAACATGTAGTGGAGCTCCCAAGCTAAATGAAGCTAACCGACCTATTTCACTACAGGAGGTTTAATTTCAATTTACCAACCAAATTTGCAGAATTTGTGAAATTTATTACAAACAGGTTCTGCTTACCTCTTTTTTTTGGTGCGCCTTTCCCAACAATGTCCGAGGCCATCTGTCAGGTTGGTTAAATTGTCGTACCTTTCCTCAATCCCGAACAAACCCCCAAATTGTTGGGATAAACTTCACACCCCACCGCATTGTTGATCAAGGAGGCACACTTCAGGAGACTTCACCTTAAAGTTAACACATTTATTTTCACACCATTAAAGGAGTACATGTATAACATTAAAACCAAATGCATTTGGAAGACAATCTTAAGTAGATCACCTTGAATCTAGCGAGATGAAAACCCAAGATTGTCTGACCTTGAGAGTGCGTGCAGTGGATTATAAAGTTTTCCTAGTTCCATCTCTTTCCGGGATGAATCCTATTTTGATTGGTTTCAAACTTTTAACAGTGAGGGAGGATGTCCTTTTGTATTGGTTGAACTTGTTACTAGCTATCTGCCCATTCCTGCTCTTAGTTTTGGACCCTACCATACTCCCGTTACGGTTTGGACTGGTTTAATTAATTTTGAGCGGATCTTAGTAAGATGTTGACCTTTTGAGCGGTTCTGAGTAAGATGTTGACCAAGCATTAAAAAGCACAAAATAATGAGGGCCGATTGTTCTCCCTTAAGTAAAAAGTGTTGTAAACCACAGTGAGTGCAAATTTCTTTCTTATCTGAGCAAAGCCAAGCACAGTGTTTTTATTAATTTTCCTTCAGCATGTAAGCAAAAGTCAAGTCGACCTTATTGTTATTAATTTTCCTTCACTACTTTTAAGACGTGTGAAAATCTGATTAAGTTTTAGTTTGCACTTATGCAGAAATATAGAAAATGTAAAGGATTCACAAAACTTTCAAGCACTACTGTTTTTTGCTTGTTGGACTTTCATATAACTACTTATACTACTGTGGTGAACTTGACCTGATGTCAAAACTTGACCTTAGGATCATATGGTCAGAAACTGTCATTTCATTGATTTGCATCCAGAGATACAGGTTGACCCATCCTGATACTTTCTTTCTTGAATTAATCAAGTGGAAAAAGACAATTCTCTATGATCATTACTATTTTACAAATGTTTTGATAATCAAATTGTGTTAGTTCAAACAATGTTTACATGTTGAAGTGAACTACTCATTTTTATTTACTTAAAACAGGAAGAATGATTTTTAATCCTCATTCAAAGAAGAAATCAGGTTAATATGCATTTCTTGATTTTCTGTCTTCAATTAGCAAAGTTTGTAAGTGTGTCAAAGTTCAAGTTTCGGTCAACTGAAAGTTTACTGAAAAGAAATGTCATGTTTAACTTTTACAGCGAGATACTGGGAGAGGAGACTCCACGAAGTCTGGTTTTTCCATGATATCTTTCTGTCTGTTCTTAAACAATCTGAATCTTTTCCTTGACTTTTAATAACACCTTACATCACAAAACACACCTCTGTTGGGGTCCATTGACCAATCAGAGGCTCTCAAATGAACCGGAAGTAGAGCCCATTTAAATGTTGGCACTTCCTAGTTCAAACGGAGAGTTTGGGAGTTCCAGAATGCAGAACGCTGGAATTCAGGATGCTGCTGAATTAGAATCAAGCTGATCCAGAGACGATTTTGGGAATTATAACTTCTGTTTGGATAACCTCACACGACTCTCGAGGTTCGAGCTGTTCTCACGGAGACGCTGAAAGAGTTGAAAGGAGAGCTCTACACCAACGCTGAACTATCGTCTGCAAGGTAAAAAGTTCTATTCTCAACCAAGCGTACCGTTGGCCCAAGCTGGAAAAGAAGGAGCGTGTCGGTTCTGGTTAAGACAGACAAATTCCCTCACACATCTCTCTGTAAATAAACCTCATCTTTCCATCTTAAAATTTTCCTATCTGCTAAAAATCATTACAGATATTTTTAGAAATGTCTGAAGCAAAGTTTTCAATCACCGCCGTGTGATTTGATGTCTGCTGTCTGCTGAAAGTGAGGAAACAATCGCCGTATTGTTCTCACTCTTGTAAAGCTGATTAATTATGTCGTTATTTTCAATTCTTGCCAATTAATGTAAATGTGTGATGTGTTAAACTTGATTCTGTTAATAAATGACCCACTGTCGTGGTGAGTCAAAGATAATTAACGTCTCACGTCCACATTTTATTTAAATTCAATGCACGACATCATTCAGTCCAGAAAAATGAATGAACCCGTTTAATGTATAATATATCCCAAGATATGTTACACTACACTACTGAAGTCCAAAATTCAGCAGAACTATCATGAAAACCTGTAAAGGCTACGAACGCCACTAATTATGAAACGCAAAATTACAAACAAAATTATGAACTGAGTCGGTTGACTCTGGTGTTCAAGAATTTAGATTTTTAATCAAATTAGTATTAACACAGTTCAATAATAATTTTTCTTTAAATTTCAAACCAAATTTTAACTATTGAACAATAAACATATTTCTTTTAGTTAAATTTGTATGATTAATCTGCATTGATGAAATTTCAAAATTGTTCTACATTACATATTGTTTCTGGTTTGGTAAAGCACATAGAATAATTTCATGTATCTGTTAATCCCTGCGAACAAGTAATTTTTACAGTCACTTAATTTCCATTTAACTCCAGTTGTGAACAAAGCCTTCATTTTAAATGTCAGAAATAATTGACAACAGTTGTTTTTATCATACATAGTTAAATAAACATCACAAAATTGTGTAGTGAACTAGGCCTCCGACCAAAACCTGCCTCTGAAGACCTTCATGGGACAGGAACTGTTATTTCATTGATTTGAATCCAGAAATACAAATTAGCTCATCCAGAGACTGTCTTATTGTATCCTGAAGTAATCAATTGAAAGAACACTCTTCTTTTTATATTATCATTACTATTTTACAATATCTTGATAATCAAAGTGTGTTTAGTTCATATCATTTCTAAAGTTGAAGTGAACCACTTATTTTAAATCAACTGTGTAGTGTGCTAAAAGGGCTAGGTTAGCTTTAGCTACACTACAATTTTATTTAAATAACGGGTTCTCTCTTTTTCGAGCTTTACAGATATGTGACAGAGGTACTGTGCGTAGATGGTTTAATCAGTGACATGAGATGTTAATTTTCTTTGACCAATCAAAATAAATGTGGTCATTTATTAACAGAATCAAAATTTAACATCAAAACATTGTACTCTTGATTAGACTGATCTGCTTATGATTAATAAAACTTGGCACGTTTTACTTAATAAAAACAACAGACATTTCTGAAGACATCTGGATTAATAACTGGCAAGATATAAGTTTAAAGATGGGAAATTATGGAGGAGTTTAAAGGAAATATGTGGAGGAAGATGTATGTCTGTAGACCAAAACAACACGTTCCTTTCAAACGCAGCTCGCCATGGTACACTTGTAGTGAAGCTCGTGACGACTCTTTACCTTGGCAGAGGATGGGTCCACTGAGGTCAAGAGGTCCCTGGCACGCTACCTTTCAGCGTCTCCTCAGGGCGGCTGCGACTCGGCAGAAGTCGTGAGATACTCTGTTCCACAGAACAAACTTCCTCAGCAGTTATAGGGCATTTGCTGGGTGGAGCCACAGCGAGGCGCCGTGACTCCTGCAGAGATGGATGACTCCATCAGCCTGGAAAACTGAGTCTGAAGTTCCACTCAGCAGTGGAAAAACTCCAGAACTACTCCACAATAATCCAAGAGACTCGGAGAACTTCAGAAGAACTCCAAGGAACTAACAGTTCCAGGAAGTGTCGACTTTTAAAGAGTTCTGCTTCCGGTCACTTTTAGTAAGTCCTGATTGGTTGAATGAACCAACATGGGTGTGGTTCTTGTGATGTCAGAGGGTCAGTGCAAGTCAAGAAAACAGCCGGAATGTTTTGAGAACGGTTAGTTACAGGCGAGAAAATATTTTGGAGAATTGACAGACTTACAGGTGCCAGTTTTCTTATTTACTGTCTGAGAGTTTTCAAAACACGACAATTCGTTCCAATAACTTCCCTCTGACTTTCGACCGACATCACTACTTCTCATTTCAGACAGAAGATCAAAAATGCATAATTACTTTGTAAAATAGGCATTTAACTTGATTTCTAATTTGAATGAGGATTTAAAAATCATTAATACTGTTTCACAGTTGATTTAAAATGAGTGGTTCACTTCAACATTTAAAAATGGTATGAACTAAACACACTTTTGATTATCAAGATTGTCGATAAACCTGGTGTCTAAGTGATGATGTAACGGACAAC